AGGAAGCAGGAGTGTATGGAGGGATGGACACTGGGAAGAGGTAACTATGGGGAGGAAGTGGGAGGGGAGCTGTTGCACTGTGGTAAACTGAGGTCAATGTCATGAGACAAAGTATATGTGAACCGCTGTATGGAAAGTAAATTTGCTCTGTAAACATTTACTGAAATCACACACACACAAAAAAAGATGGAAACAACCTAAATGCCCATCAACAGATGAATGAATAAACAAACTATATACACACAATGGAATAATACACAATGTTGAAGAATAACAATTAATCTGTAAAACATCTAATATGGATATTTTCATTACCTCTCGGGACACTCTAACAGACATATACAACAAAGGGGATGGCTTGAACAAACACGAGTTTATTCTCTTACAGTTTTGGAGGCTAGAAGTCCAAGTTCAAAGTGCCAGGGTCTAGAAGTTGGGTGAAAGCCCCTCGACCTTAGGCTTCAGCTCTACCGCTTGTTCCCAGCCCACTGAAACTAGAGGCTTTCTTCACTCAGGCAGCTGCTGGCTGCTGAGGCTGACAAATTCAAGGTCAAGAAGTAAAAAGGCACAGTCCCGATATTACCAAACCAAACGACAGATCACTGATTCAAGTCCATTAAGAGTTCCAAGAATGGCCGACAGTATGGCAGGCTGCTGAAAAATGACTTGGCTACATGCAGGATTCAAGTGTGCCAAATGCTAGAGACCACTCCGAAAACTTTTCCTTATATACTGGGAGCAGACCACATCCCTAAATCAGCTACTCAGCGGCTCCCAGTGGATTTCATAATGGAGTTGACTGCCAGCGTTACCATAGGGAGATAACTACAATGAACTGCCCAGCCACTCAAAATGAGGCCTAGCCAAGTTAACACATAATTTTAACTACCACAAGGGATGAACCTGGAGAATATTAGGCTGAGTGAAATCAGTCAATCACAAAAGGAAAAATATTGTATAAGACTACTGGTATAAAGTCAAGAAATGGTTTTCACACAGAAAGAAACATTCTTTGAAGGTTATCAGGGATAGGAAGGGAGGATAAATCACTAGCTAGAGAGTAGAATCATACTGATTTAGGTGAAGGGAAAGGTAATATACAAGGAGATCAGCACAAAATGATCAAGGAAGACACTGGGAGGAGCACAAAAGTTAAAGGCAACAAAGGAAAACAGGATTACATACACAATCTTGCAATAACAGTAATAAAAATAATCTACGAGTAGATACACACATAGGCACATAAACTGAACAGATGTGGGAAGGCAAATGGGACTACACTCAGGAATATATATCAGTTTGACAGAGGATATTCCTACATATGTATTTAAATGTGCTGCAAATACATCCACAAATATAGTAGAGCATACAGGTGGCAAAGTTATGAAAACTTCTTATCCATAACCAAATACCGCGAGGGAGTAAGTTGCTGGACCTCGGGGTTCAGGACCATAGTCTCGGGTCAACTGGCATAACATACTCCACAAAGATAATGTTCTACATTCTATTTTAGTGAATAGTGACTAGGGTCTTAAAAGCTTGTGAATGGCCATCTAAGATACAGCAATTGGTTTCTCCCCATCCAGAGCAAAGAGTGAAGAAAATCAAAGACATATGGAAATAATTAGTCCAAAGGACTAATGGACCAGGTGATCCTCAGCCTCCATGACCCTGATCTCAGAAGAACTAGATGGTGCGAGCTACAACTACTGAGCACAACAAAATGGATCATAGTAGGAGGTCCCAGATAGAGTGGGAGAAAAATGTGGAACAAAACTTTAAATCATAAAAAAGACCAGGCTTACTGTTCTAGTACTGACTGATGGAACCCCTGAGACTACCGCATTTAGACACCCTTCAAGCCTGGAACTGAATCTATCCTGGTGGCTGAACTTTTAGCCAAACATTAGTCATGTGTATAAGGTAAACTAGGAGCTCTGGTGGTGCCGTGCCTAAGGCATTTGACTGCTAACCAGCAGGCTGGCAGTTAAAACCCTCCATGGAAGGAAGATGGGGCAGTCTACTTCCATAAAGATTTACCACCTTGGAAACCCAATAGGGGTCGCTATGAGTCAGAATTGACTAGAAGGAAGTGGATTTTTATAAGGTAAACAATAAACACCAGGTAAGTATGCACTCTGTAGGACAACCAACCATATGAGATCAAAAGGGCAGCATTTTGCCCAAGGATAAAGCTCAGAAGGCAGGAAGGGATAGGAAAGAAAGGCAAATAGAAAAGAGGAACACAGGGAGGAAGTAGAATGAATGCTGTTACCTTGTCAGATCGCCACCAATCAATGTCACCAAAGAAAGCGTGTATGAATTACTGAGTGGATAACAAATTTTCCTTGTAAACTTTCACCCAACTCACCACAGTTAAAAAACAAAAACATGTCTATACCATCAAATGGGAGGGTAGCATAGTGCCTAAGGCACTTGACTGCTAACCAGAAGGCTGGCGGATCAAACCCACTAGCCATTTCTCAGAAGGAAGATGGGGCAATCTACTTCCGTAGTGATAGTGCCTTGGAAACCCAAGGAGGGGTTGCTATGAGTTGGGTCCGACTCGACAGCACATAACAACAACAACAACAACAACATAC